CAGCCTGGGTGATAGAGTGATACTCAATCTCAAAAAAAAAAGAAAGAAATTAACAGGAATATTCATTTGAACTCAAATCTAAATGATTAAAGCTATTCTTAAATACAGCAATTATTAATTATATTACTGTAAGGTTTCTCTATCCATTTTTCATTAATTCGACCACAACTTATGAAGTACCTTCTATTGTTAGGCATTACAATATAACCTTAATTTTATGAAAACTGACATTTTTGAGAGTTTTTCATGTGCTAAACCACAGACTTACAGCTTAGCACTTTTTCATGTAACAACTCTATGAATAATACTATTTTAGTCCCATTTTACACAGAGAAAAAAAGAAATTCAAAGAGTAGAACTTGCTAATGGATAAACAGCTAATTATAAGGGACCACACTAGAAATCAACTCCAAGTAATGACCTTACTGTTAGGTTTAAACACTCTTTCAGTCACTGTTCTAAGTGCTCACAATGAAGGCTGGGAAGTCACACACATACAATACACAAGGCAAGACTGGTTAATGATATAATAAAGATGCAAAGAAAGTGCTCTGAAAGCACAGCAGAGATAGTCATTGCCCACAAGAGGATTTCTTACTAAGAGCAAAGTCAAAACAGCTTGATGGCTGTTGAGGTAGTAAAAAAGTATCTAATACTTAGATATGATTAACCTGCACTGGTAATTTCATATTTTCAAATCTAGAAAATAGGAGAAGTGGCATTCAGTTTCATTTCCATTTAAAACCTGTCAGACTTTTTTTTTTTTTTTTTTTTTTTTTGAGACGGAGTCTTGCTCTGTTGCCCAGGGTGGAGTGCAGTGGCTGGATCTCAGCTCACTGCAAGCTCCGCCTCCCAGGTTAACGCCATTCTCCTGCCTCAGCCTCCTGAGTAGCTGGGACTACAGGCGCCCACCACTACGCCCGGCTAGTTTTTTGTATTTTTAGTAGAGACGGGGTTTCACCGTGTTAGCCAGGATGGTCTCGATCTCCTGACCTCGTGATCTGCCCGTCTTGGCCTCCCAAAGTGCTGGGATTACAGGCTTGAGCCACCGTGCCCGGCCTAAAACCTGTCAGACTTTATGAGTAAAACAAGATCTCACATCTTGTAATCTTTCAAACCAAGAACAGGTAAGATATCTGCAAACACGCAAAGGGAGGAATTACAAAAACGTCCTAAGAGAAGGCACAAAGTACCAGAAGGAATAAAAGAATTTTTCAAGGGAAACTACAAGAGGAAGATGTCATGCTCCACTTCAAGTAAAATGCAACTGAGGGATATTTTAGTCTTCACATACCATCTACCATTAATGTTTGCTATTTTCCTATCAAAGAAAAGTCAAAATCAAAAGAGGTTAAAAACAAAACTCAAGGCTGGGCGCAGCGGCTCACGCCTGTAATCCCAGCACTTTGGGAGGCCGAGGCAGGTGGATCACCTGAGGTCAGGAACTCAAGAATAGCCGGACCAACATGGTGAAACCCCACCTCTACTAAAGAATGCAAATTAGCCGGGCATGGTGGTGCATGCCTGTAATCCCAGCTACTGGGGAGGCTGAGGCAGGACAATCTCTTGAACCTAGGAGGCGGAGGTTGCAGTGAGATGAGATCACACCATTGCACTCCAGCCTGAGCAACAAGAGTGAAACTCCATCTCAAAAAAAAAAAACTACTCAAGAAGTAAAACAATAGATTCCGCCTTTTAACGAGAGGGGAAAAAAAAGGTGATTTCAAGAGAGATAAATTTAAGGTGTATATAAGTGTCCAGGATAATGAGCGTAATCAACTTAAAGAGTCAGGGATGGATAGGCTGCAAAGGAAAACCATGACTGTCAAATCCTTAAAATTCCATCAAAACTAAAGAGAGCTGAGCTCTCTTTATACTTAAAAATTATTTTTAGTTTATTTACTGAATGCTTCCAGAGACCTGGAAGAAATCTGCAGCAGACTTGGTGGGAGATTAAATCTTACTCTATGGAAATGAACTTTAAAATTCAGCAGAACTGAGCAACAAGCTATGTGATGGTACAGGATGACCATCTATCTAATCCTTGGCATATTAACTGATCTCTCCTTAAAAATAATACAGATACATTCACCAAGGTTTTATAGAGGAATGCATCCAGGTATATAAATAAGCCATCATACTGTATATGCTCTGAAGTTCACACCACTGCTTACACAGATTGTGAATGCCTTCTTAGAAAAAATTTTTAGGGCTAGGCATGGTGGCTCACACCTCTAACCTGAGCATTTTGGGAGGCATAAGTGGGAGGATCACTTGAGCCCAGGGACTTGAAATCAGCCTGGGCAACATAAGGAGACCCCACTCAACAAAAAATAGAAAACTTAGCCAGGCGTGGTGATTAACATCTGTAGTCCTAGCTACTCAGGAGCCTAAGGTGGCAGGATGGCTTAAGCCAGGGAGGTCGAGGCTGCGGTGAGCTGTGATCACGCCACTGCACTCTAGCCTGGGTGACAGAGGGAGCCCTCATTTCAAAATTTTTTTTTTTTTTTTTTTGAGACAGAGTCTAGCTCTGTCGCCCAGGCTGGAGTGCAGTGGCTGGATCTCAGCTCACTGCAAGCTCCGCCTCCCGGGTTCACGCCATTCTCCTGCCTCAGGCTCCCGAGTAGCTGGGACTACAGGCGCCCACCACTTCACCCGGCTCATTTTTTGTATTTTTAGTAGAGACGGGGTTTCACCGTGTTAGCCAGGATGGTCTCGATCTCCTGACCGTGATCCGCCCGTCTCGGCCTCCCAAAGTGCTGGGATTATAGGCTTGAGCCACCGCGCCTGGCCCTCATTTCAAAATTTTTTAAAAAGCAAAAGTTCTTAGAATTTACACTGGAGAAAGAATTCATATAACTTTAGCAAATGACAGAGAATGCAACATTATTATCCTATAATTTCCCACTAGGAAAACCTTCTAAGGATGATGTTTATTTCCCTCTTAAGTAGCAAGAGCAGAGAGCAATGCCCAGCTGTAAGGAAATTATAGTTGCTCACTGGGACCCTCAGAGCTCATTCTTTTCCCAAGTCAGGCTGGGCAAACATTTAGAATCGGAATCCCGATGAATTAAGATGTGTATAAGTCAATCTAAAGGAGAGGTAGTCTCTTTGAAAGCAAAATGCTTGTTGGCACAATTCTAAAAGTACAATTCAGGCATTAAATGCCTGTACCATGTTAAATGCTGAGTATTATTTATTCTGAGCAACGAAGACCACAGAAAAATTAAAAGCAGAGAAAAAGATTAGAAATTTAAGACTCCTAAACTTGGGGCATTGGTTACATTGTTTACTTTGTGTCACTTATACAAAATTAAGTTTTACTTTTTTTTTTTTAAGGAAAAAAGCCTACAGCACTCAGTATTCCCAAGCAGTAACAAGTTTTACTTTTAATCACAACCAAAGAGGTATCTACACAAATTGTAGCAAAAATCATTAGCATTATAAATTTATGTAGACAAAAGTATCATGTGCAATTACTGACTTATAGTTTGAAATTGTTACATTAAAAAACAAACAAACAAACAAACTATATAGTTAAGGCAGAAAATGCCACTATACTGACAAGTAGCCCGAAGTCTGGTGCCCTCTTCTTGTCAATATGTGACCAATAAAAAGCAAGTTAAGCAACCTTAACCTGGGATTACCGGGTTACTGTAAAATATCCAAGAAATATTGTTAAAAATGAAAAGGCTTTTTTCTTTCCGAAGTTATTTCTCAGGGAATTTGAAAAGAAAATAAATGAAAAGCACTGTCCTCAAAGCTAGTTGTTGATAGCAAACAATTGGTAATTGTTTTGAGACACCCACTTTTTTTTTTTTTTAACTACAAAGATACTTGACCTTAACTTAGAATACAAAATGAAACCAATCCCCATCATTCCTAAATTTAACAATTTGAACCTACAGAATGGTATAAAAAGCCTCCAACTCGTTACTCAACAAAGATTTTTGGATAAACGACTTTGGCAAAGCACCCCGGTCCAAGGAAGTCAGATCAAAAACTTTAAAAATCCTACAAAACATTCTCTAAGTTGAGTTCAGGCTCCAAACAGTATCTCACTGACCGAAATGGTTTTGCTTCCTTAGTTCTCAAGGACCAGGACTGCCCGGCTCTGGGTGGTAGGGACAACCCTGGGGCGACAAGTCGCTCGCGCCTCTGCCCGTCGTTCTGGGCCGAGCTTGGCCCAGAATGACGGGCAAAGGCCGGGCCACGCGCGACGCGAGGGCCTTCCTCACTCACCGTGAAGCGCTGGTCGCCAATGCTGCCCACGGAGAAGCAGTGGTCGCCAGGGTTCACAGCCCCGGTCAGCACCTGGTGCAGGTTCATGTCGGCGCCCTAGTCCTGCAACGGACACAGCATCCAGCTCATGCCACGGGTCAGCGGCCGCTTCCCTCCCTCCTTCCCTCAGGGGCGGCGGCCGCTCTTCGGTGGCGACGGCAGAAGCAGCGACAGGCGCCTGGAGCCGGAGCCGCTCAGCTGGGGCCCGCGACTCATCCCGAGCCCTGGAGGGCGAGGCCCGGAGGGGGCGGGTCGGCGAGCGGGCGGAGCGCCGGGCTCCTTCGCGCACCTGTCACTGCCCGCGCTGGCCCAGGTGAAGCTCAGGGTCCCCTCACCAGCCACGACCCAGGGCCGACTCACTGGCCAGGAAGGCCGCGCTCTCCACAGACTTCCTCCGGACCTCGGGCAGACACTCCTGACCCAGCCCGAGTGGCGGAGGCAGAATGCGCTCGCACTCCCCGCCTGACCTGTCCCTTCCCGGCTCCGGTGCCCGCCACCCCCGCAGTCCTCCGCCACTCACTACGCGACTGTGGAGCCCTGCGGCCGAAATATCGCGAGACTTCGCTCGACGAAGCTCCTACTGTGGTAAAGGATTCACTTTTTTACCACAGTATACTTACCAGCAAGTGAACATAAAAACGCCTCTGCTAGTCAGCAACTGGCCAATCCCGACCCCCGGTCCATCTAGGGCTCCGCCCACCGCCGAGGATAAGCCAATCTCTTTGAGGCTTGTAAAGGAGAACGCCTTGCGTTTGAGCTTGAACATGATAAGCCTGGCAGAAGCCTGATGAACCCAGAATGAGTGAGATGTGGTAAGTTGTGCTTTAGGTTAGGGCTTAATCTAACTGTTGGGCCAGAAAATTTGAAGGGGAGAAGTGCATCCTAAATGGAGTTGCAGTTTCCTCGGTTCTGGTATGACTACAAGTCCCAATATGCACCGCTCCCCTGGCGGCCCGAGTGTCTCTTAAGTAAATGTGACCCTTGAAACGTCTACGTTAGCAGCTTATTGGTTTCTCCAGCCTTGCGCGTTTCCAAGTGCCTAAACGGGATGGTTTTTGAAAGGCTCGAACACTTACTTGACAAGTAGTAAAGTGGTATTTTCTTAGCCTAAGTTACCTTAACACATGATTTGAAATAGTGCTGGCAATAACACACCAGCCCAGCATTAAGCTTTTGTTTTGGAAAAGAACCTAGGAATTCCAGAATGATCAGAGTCACAGCTACAAACAGATTCAACTCTCATTGTATTTTGACACAAGTTTTGTATTGTAATTGACAAACATCTGTTTATGTCTCCCCCTGTATACGTAAGCCCTTTTGGGATAGAGAGAAACAAGACACAAGTGTGCCCCTGATGTCTAGCACCGCACCAGTCCCACCCATTCAAGGTGTTCTGTAAACGTTGCATGAATGTGTATAGAAACTCTCCAGATAGACCGGGCACGGTGACTCACACCTGTAATTTCAGAACTTTGGGAGTCCGAGGAGGGCGGATCACGAGGTCAGGAGTTCGAGACCAGCGTGGCCAACATAGTGAAACCCCCATCTCTGCTAAAAATACAAAAATTAGCCGGGTGTGGTGGCTCCCGCCTGTAATACCAGCTACTCGGGAGACTGAGGCAGGAGAATCACTTGAACCTGGGAGCTGAGGTTGCAGTGAGCCAAGACCATACCATTGCACTCCAGCCTGGGTGACAGACACTCCATCTCAAAACAAACAAACAAAACCCTCAAAAAACTCTCCAAATAGGCCGGGCATGATGGCTCACACCTATAATCCCAGCACTTTGGGAAGTCGGGCGCGGGGGAGGGTATCACCTGAGGTTGGGAGTTCGAGACCAGCCAGTGAAACCCCGTTTCTACTAAAAATAAAAAACGTATCCGGGCGTGGTGGCACGCGCCTGTAATCCCAGCTACTCGGGAAAGTGAGGCAGAAGAATCGCCTGAACCTGGGAGACGGAGGTTGCAGTGAGCCGTGAGCCGAGGTTGCGCCATTGCACTCCAGCTTGGGCAACAAGAGAGAAACTACAAAAGAAAGAAACTCCCCAAATGAAACAAGTGGTTTTTAGAATTTTACTAAATTTGTTTTTTATATGCTTTTTTTGTAGTATAAAGACTTCAAACTATAATACTACTTGGGTGGGACAAGTACTAGTAACTTTATTTCCTTTTATTTGTACTGCATTTTTTGCAATGTACATTTACTTTGTCTTGTAATAAAGAGCTACTTACGAGTTACTTTTGTAGTTCATAAGTGTGATGATTGTGTGTTCACACTTGTGTGAGATGTCCCTCCCTCAAACCTTGTTGTACCATCTGCACATTACCCATCTGATGTGGGGGGGGGAGGAAAATCCCGAAACTTACAAAAAAAAATGAATTTCATTATGTATTCCAGGCTTTTCATAAGATGACGGACAAAACTTAATTTGTCTTTTTTAAGAATAGATATATTTTTGAGGTCTAACATACCTACAGTTTGACTTGCCTTTTATTATTTCAAATTATACTTCAAGTGCTTTTTAATTTTATATTTTAGAACCAGAATCAGGATTGTTGTATATACTTGTGTGGGTCCCACATAAATTCTGTGACTGGCCCATAATTTACATGTTTACTCATTCTATTTTGCCTAGTTGTTGGTTTTGAAGAGCATTCCATATATGAGAATGAAACTGAGCAACAAGAGGCCGGGCGCGGTGGCTCACGCCTATAATTCCAGCACTTTGGGAGGCTGAGGCGGGTGGATCACAAGGTCAGGGGAGATTGAGACCATCCTAACTAACACGGTGAAACCCCGACTCTACTAAAAATACAAAAAATTATCCGGGCGTCATGGCGGGCGCCTGTAGTCCCAGCTACTCAGGAGGCTGAGGCAGGAGAATGGCGTCAACCTAGGAGGCCGAGCCTGCAGTGAGCCGAGATCGCGCCACTGCACTCCAGCCTGAGCGACAGAGCTAGGCTCCGTCTCACAAAAAAAAAAAAAAAAAAAAAAACCGCAACAAGAGTAGTCAGGGAATCTATGATCTATTCCTGATTCTCAAAATAACTAGCTGTGTGACCATGAAAAAGTCTGTTTAAGTTTGTTTGTTTGTTTGTTTGTTTGAGATAGAGTTTCACTTTTGATGCCCTGGCTGGAGGGCAATGGCACGATCTCGGCTCACTGCAATCTCTGCCTCCCGGGTTCAAGTGATTCTCCTGCCTCAGCCTCCTGAGTAGCTGGGATTACAGGCATGCACCACCCTGCCTGGCTAACTTGTATTTTTAGTAGAGAGGGGGTTTCTCCATGTTGGCCAGGCTCCTCTCAAATTCCTGAGCTCAGGTGATCCACCCGCCTCCGCCTCCCAAAGTGCTGGGATTACCGGACTGAGCCACCGCGCCCGGCTTGTTTAATTTTTAAGACTGACTTTCCTCATCTGTAAAATTAGGGAGTTTAACTTGATTATTCACAACATTTTGTTTAGCAATGCCACTTCTACAGCTCTGTGCATCTGTTAGTGTTTATTTAAATTACTGGCCAGGCACAGTGGCTTGCGCCTGTAATCCCAGCACTTTGGGAGGCTGCGGCAAAAGGATCACTTGAGCTCAGGAGTTCCAGACCAGCCTGGCCACCATCGGGAAACCCCGGCTCTATGAAAAATACAGACTGGGCAACAAAGGGAGACCCCATCTTTACAAAAAAAATATTTAAAAAAATGAAGTGTGTTGTGTGCATGCCTGTAGTCCAAGCTACTTGGGAGGCTGAGGTGGGAGGATCACTTGAGCCCAGGAGTTGGAGGCCGCAGTGAGCTGTGATGGTGCCACTGCATTCCAGCTTGGGTGACAGAGAGACACCCTGTCTCAAAAACAAAATAACAACAACAACAAAAATGAGGTGGGCGAGGTGGCTCATTCTTCTAATCCGTCCCACTTTGGGAGGCCAAATCAGAAGGACGGCTTGAAACCAAGAATTTGAGACCTGCCTGAGAAACATAGTGAGGCCCTATTTCTATTTTTTTAAAAAAACAGGCTGGGCCCGGTGGCTCACACCTGTAATCCCAGCACTTTGGGAAGCCGAGGCGGGCAAATCACAAGGTCAGGAGATCAAGAACATCCTGGCTAACACAGTGAAACCCCGTCTCTACTAAAAATACAGAAAACAAAATTAGCCAGGCATGGTGTCGGGCGTCTGTAGTCCCAGCTACTTGGGAGTCTGAGGCAGGAGAATGGCCTGAACCCGGGAGGTGGAGCTTGCAGCCAGCAGAGTTTGTGCCACTGCACTCCAGCCTGGGCAACAGAGCAAGACTCTGTCTCACAAAAACAACAACAACAACAACAACAAACAAAATTCCTTTTGCCTCCAAGCTGCTGCTCCTCATAGATCATCTCCTAATGTCATAAAACTCCCCTAATAAGGTTCTGTTGAATCCTAAATCTATTCCTGATTTATTGTGCAACTTTGACAGGACTCTGACCTTATGGGAAGATTAATAAGAAGGTAGAGGAGGTGAAAGTAAATTGTAGGTTGTTTGCTCCTCATCCTTCCCTTCCTGTTTCCTTACTGCGGGTCTAGAAAACAGCACTGCATGCCTCCATTCCACTTGCTCACAGTCTCCACCTTACTTCTACCCAAGGCTCACAAATCCACCTGCTAATCCAAGAAATCCAGGAGAAGGGCCTGGTGTGGTAGTTAACACCTGCAATCCCAGCGCTTTGGGAGGCTGAGGCAGGAAGATCCCTGAACTCAGGAGTTCCAGGTTGCAGTGAACTAGGATCACACCACCGCACTCTAACCTGGGCAATAGACCCCATCTTTAAAAAAAAAAAATCCCAGGGAATCATTGAGTCTAATTATCCCCTCAACTATGATTGAATTGTATCAATCCATCCTTTGAATGCTCACTGACTGTGTACTTCAGTGGTTTTCTTTTTTAGTTTCTAAAAAAAATAAGAGAGAAAGGATGGCTCAAAAAAAAAAAAAAAAAAAAGTCTTGCTGTGTGCAGCGCCAGTAGTCCCAGTTACCCAAGAGGCTAAGGCAGGAGAATCAGTTGAAAGTCCAGGAGTTCAAGTCCAGTCTAGGTAAAACAGTGAGATCACGTCTCTAAAAACCAAATAAAAAATTAAAAATAAAATAAAGGAAATCTTTTCTTATATAGTTTGCATTATTACTAGCAGCAAGATCTCTTACATAACTGAAGTGCTATGTGGTTTCTGAGACTGGCAAGCCAAAGAGAACTTACGTTGTCTTCAATACTAGTCTTCAAGAGGAAGGGCATTTTGTTTGTTTGTTTGTTTTTTTGAGACAGAGTCTTGCTCTGTCACCCAGGCTGGAGAGCGGTGGTGCGATCTCGGGAGGAGGGAGAATTTCATAAGAGTCAGTGGGTAGTGATAGTGTAAAGAAACTCAAGCAGGCCAAATTCTGACATTCTTGGAAAGAAAAGGAGCATATAGGAAGCTAGCTCAGATTGGGAAATAATCATGCCTCTTGCCCACTCTTGATTTCTTGAAATCCTTGTCATTACCCTCCTCCCCCACCCCAAATAGACCAATCTTAATCCCTATTCTTGGCCGGGGCGGTGGTTTACGCCTGTAATCCCAGCACTTTGGGAGGCCCAGGTGGGCGGATCACCTGAGGTCCAGAGACCAACATGGCAAAACTCCGTCTTACTAAAAAATACAAGGTCAGGGGAGATTGAGACCATCCTAACTAACACGGTGAAACCCCGACTCTACTAAAAATACAAAAAATTATCTGGGCGTCAGGATTATAGGGCCGGGGACAGTGGGTCATGCCTGTAATCCCAGCACTTTGGGAGGCCGAGGCAGGTGGATTGTGAGGTCAGGAGTTTGAGACCAACCTGGCCAACATAGTGAAACCCTGTCTCTTCTAAAAATACAAAAAATTAGACAGGAGTGCTGGCGGGTGCCTATAATTCCAGCTGCTCTGGAGGCTGAGGCAGGAGAATCGCTTGAAGCTATGAGGTGGAGGTTGCAGTGAGCTGAGCTCATACCATTACACTCCAGCCTGGGTAACAAGAGTGAAACTCTGTCTCATAAACAAACAAATGAACAAAAAATTATCAGGGTGTGGTGGCACGTGCCTGTAGTCCCAGCTACTCGGGAGACTAAGGCAGGGAATCACTTGAACCTGGGAGGCGGAGGTTGCAGTGAGCTGAGATCGCTCTACTGCACTCTAGGCTGGGCCGACAGAGCGAGACTTTGTCTCAAAAAAAAATCCCTATTCTCCCAGGGCCTCTGTCACTAGATCCACCTATAGGGGCTTCGGTCCCCACTGCCAGCACTGATAGATGAGGGAAGTTAGGAGTAAGGGAACTTCTTAGTCTCATAACTAAGCCTAAATCAAGGGCAGTATGTTGCTTGAATTTCACAAGCATTCTAACCTCATTATCTCACAAAAATAATATGAGGGTCTCTATGCAATGAAGATATTAGTTACTCTGGAAACTTGCCTCTACTGCCAAGAGCAACCTTGCCTACAGCAAAATTCATCAGGAATAGTATAGGTTATATAGATATTTGATAGCCGGGGTAGTGATGCATGCTTGTAGTCCTAGCTACTTTAGAGGCTGAGGTAGGAGGATCGCTTGAGCCCAAGAGATTGAGGCAGCGATGTGCCATGATTGGCACCACTGCACTCCAGCCTGCGTGACAGAGGAAGACCCTATTTCAAAAAGAAAAAAAAGAAAAAAAAAGAATTTGTACAAATAATCCAAATTTAGAAAGATGTGAACAGGAACTACTGTGTATTCTTATTTTTTATATCTTCTGCCTAAGGGAAGTGGAAATAGCTGCTAGAGAGGGACAAAGAAAGAATTATATACACATACACACACACAAACACATACTTTTTTTTTTTTTTTTTTTCTTGAGAAGAGTCTCACTCTGTCACCCAGGCAGGAGTGGAGTGGCACCATCATGATTCACTGCAGCCTTGACCTCCAGGCAGGCTCAGGTGATCCTTCCACCTCAGCCTCCCAAGTAGCTGGGACCACAGGTACATGCCACCACGCCCAGCAAATTTTTGTAGTTTTTGTAGTGATGGGGTTTTGGCGTGTTGCCCAGGCTGGTCTCAAACTCCTGGGCTCAAGTGATCCACCCACCTCGGCCTCTCAAAGTGCTGGGATTATAGGCATGAGCCACCATGCCTGGTCACACACACTTTTTATATGAGGAATGTAAGCCCTTTTAAATTATCAGGCCCAGAAAGGCATTAAAATGAAATAGCATTCATATCCTATCTCTCTCCTTGAACTGTGTAATCTCTTGAAACTGCTTTCACAGCTGGACGTGGTGGCTCACACCTGTAATCATAACACTTTGGGAGGCCGAGGTGGGC